ACGCGGTCCCTATCCTGGAAGGCGAGTAGCACCGACTGCACCTAAGCGTCTCGTGATCTCCTTCGTACTCCTCTGCCAAGTCAAGGGTTGGCCCCCCTCTGTTTACGCCACTCCGAATTGAGTGTAAAAAACAGCACTCTCTTCGCAAACGATGGTTCGGCATACGCAACCCACGTTTCAACCAACGCAGCTTCAAGTGCTGGACACATTTTTCAATGGAAGTACCCGTTGAATAACCGAAAACTCGCTTTCTAACTGCCTCATTACGGACTCGCCGACAATAAACCACACGAGCTATGGTTCTGAGACAACGATCGTCGAACACCTGAAGACGTCTCAGTTCCGCTGCCCGAACAGGCCCAGTCTCATTGCCATACACTAAAACAGCCGTACTGTAGCTTGATACACACGTCTCTTGAGATTCAGAGGTAAACCCCTCTGACGCCATGGGTGTCTAAAGTTAGCAAACGCGACCCGAGCCTTGTGGATTCGTGCATTCACCTCACTTGTCACACTGCATTCAGCACTAATACAACTTCCAAGGTACGTAAAACGCTCCACAACTTCCAGTAGCTCTCCCTGGATTGTAAGGGGCGTGTTCAGTGACTGCACGTCCACAAGCATGACCTTACACTTTGTGGGTGCAAAATGCATACCAAAGGACGGGATGACTTCAGAGGTGCGTTTGGTGCTGTCGATCGGCCAGTACTGTCAACTACACCTGATAAACGGGGTGTGCCCAGAAGTTTGGTAAGATAATCCGGTCCTTATGTGCACATAATTCTGGTGAGCTCTCTAGGAACCTGTCGGTCGACTGGCATACGCAGCACGTGGCCAAGCCAGCGCAACCTGTGCAGTGTGATCAGTTCATCTATCGAGGGTGAGTTATTTCTCCCGAATACCATTCGACGTACTTCAGCATTGCTGATCCGGTGTTCCCACCAGATTCGGGCAATGCTCCGAAGACATCGATGGTCAAACACTGAAAGTCTTTTGACGTCCTCGGCGCGCAGCGGCCAGGTTTCTGATCCATATAGTAATATAGAGCTCACCGCAGCATTGTAATCTCGACCTTTGACAGAGAAGGTGACGTAGGTTCGCAAAAGCTGCTCTGGCCTTCCCAATCCGGATGGAAATATCATCTTTCGCGAGACCACCGGGAC